ATATATATATATATATATTACAGAAATGTTTAATTTTTTAGCAGAATTATGTATACTTATCTTTGACTTAAACAATAGGACAAAAACCAAGACCTCAAGCAATCTTTTCATCAAGTGTTTGAAAACTTAAGATGTTTCCTTATGCCTCACCCAGTAGAGAATGCTTGGGATACTTCCATTTGTCAAGTTAAAGGTTGGAAAATATAATAGAATTTTACGTTTGATCTATAAAAAAAAGTACTATTATTATCATTATTATTATTATTATTATTATTATTATTATTATTATTATTATTATTTATTATTATTATTATTATTTATTATTATCATCATTACGATTATCATTATTATTATCATTACTATTAGTTATTAATATTATTATTATTATTATTTATTATTATTAATTATTATGTTACTGTAATCTACCTTAAGGGGAACTTAGACAATGGACAAATTAAAAAACAATTAAAAAATCGAAGTTAAGGAGAAAATAACTTGACGTTAAGGGGAAAATAACACAAAAGATACTCTCCTTTTAGTCTGACTTAGTACACATTATTATTATTATTATTATTATTATTATTATTATTATTATTATTATTATTATTATTAATATTATTATTATTATTATATTATTATTATTATTATTTCTTCAAAGTACCGGTTTATTTTAAGCACATTTGCACAATGATCGAAAAGGTAAAAGCAATCAATAAAAATAGTAAACGAGATATTATACTGCATTCTCAATATACTTACTATTCCAACAACGTTTAAAGCTAGGCTCATGAGGATTTTTTTTTTTTTTTGTTGAACTGATTTTTTTTTTAAGACACGAAATGCAAAATTGACGAAAAACTAGGAAGCTGTTAATGAAATGCAGATTTTTGAAGGTTTACAAACTGGAGAAAATGTTGAAGAACGGGAGGTTTTTAAATATCCCACTAACTACAACATTAATGTCGGCACTAGTTCGACGCGCTCCTCTCCCAGGTTTCGGTAGAGTAGAATTCAGTAGGCGTAAGAGTCTTCCCGGATAAAGACTTGTCCAGTGCATCGGGCTTTTGTGTACTTCAAAGAGCGTATTACATTTTACTTGAAAATAAATACCACGATGCTCTGGTTTATTTCAGCCTCTGACTGTGAAATGATGTGAACAGGAAGTTACTATGCGCCTCTCGGCTAATAGAGAGTCACAAACCACGACCATATGCAATTCGGCACAATGACGCTGCGCTTTATGCATTATACCCTTTATATACACAGACAGCAATTTATGATTTTGGAAGACAGCTTTAATGCAAAGCATTAGTAAATGCGTTAGTATAGTCTCTAAATATATCATATTCTCATAGCTTTTCTACTTTGCCAAATAAGTAATGATTATCTGTGTTTTTATAACGATGTTGCACTTAAATTAACCAGACATACATTTTCATATTATGGTTATCATTTTCAGACATTGCTGAAAAATTCTTTGTTCAGATGAAGGTTTTGTTAAAGATTTTGTTTTCATCAAAAATATCTGAAGTTACAAAGATTGATGGCGACGACGTTACATGTGCAAGATTACTTGATTATTTTCAGGTATTATTTTAAAGGTATTATGGCGGAAAAACGATTGTAAAATTAACCATAATGTACAAACTATATGGCAACTATGACTATTTATCTATATTTCAGTTATATGAGAAGTCTATCAATAAAGTCAACTTTGAAATTGCATCGAAATTTGAGGTGAGAATATTTAGAATAACTGTTTTACTAGATTATTTCTTCAACCTGGTTATGTAATCTAATGTTAGAAACGAGTAAATTTATGATGTAATTCTAATTGTATAGTAATGTGTAACTTTAACAGCCATGTCGGGAGTATTTGCATATCGGTGGTGGCAACGACAGTGGCAGCAGTGGTAGAGGTGGCACAAGGGCATCAGCGTCAGAAACAACAACAATAGTGAAGGTAGGTATTTTTCTCAGTAAAAA